GTCTTTTGGGATAAGGGTGGCATATCAAGGAGAGGTGTACCTTTGGATATAAGGGTGGCAATTGTATGTGAATATTATAGCTCTTGCTACTATGTCTTTTAAGATTACAATATATTTGAGTCCTTACTTCTTTGTGATTTGAGAACTCAAAGATATTGTTCTTATTAGAAATAATGGTATTGATGTTATTGAGAAGGGGAAAACTTGGCATATGGCCATTGGTATTGGTTAAAAGTGTTTTGAAACAGAATGGTTATTTTAGTGAGGAATCAGAGGGGCTCTGGTCCTGAATGTCGAATTATATTCCAAGTCTGCTTAGTGAAACCAGTGGCTCTGGTTGTAAAGAGCAGAAGCTCTGGTAGAGAGACTAGAGGGGCTCTGGTCCTGTGTCGAAATATTTTCTAAGTGTGGTTTAGAACCAGAGGCTCTGGTCGTGAAGACAAGAAGCTCTGGAAGAGAGACCAGAGGGGCTCTGGTCCTGCTTGTCGAAATATTTTCTTAGTGTTGTTTGGAACCAGAGGACCGATGGATCAAAGCTGTATGTTTTCAGTTTTGCTGCATGCGATGATTGATTTGAAATAATTGTTTTGGTGATCCTTACCCTGCATTTTATAGAAGGGAACCTCACTAGACCCGTTGGTCTAACCCTCGTTTTCTGTTTTAAATTATGCAATGCAGGAATAGCTGGGTCCGGGGATGTAAAAGGGAAAATGTGATTATTTTTCCTAATCTTTTGCCTGCTTTTGAAGATGCATGTTATATTACATGTAGTAGTACATGATTTGTTTTGGAAATTTTTATATGTCAATTTTGTATATATAGTAATCCTTGTACTAGTGGGACCGTTTGATGTAATCCATGTTTCTATCTAATGAAATATGTATTCTATGTAAATGTGGTATTTGGGGTGTTACAGAAGTGGTATCAGAGCCTGAGTTTAAGGGATTTAGGTATTCAACAGCATGATACCTAGACTTAAACTGTTTTTATTGCATCATAAGAGTCCCGGACATAGTTAGCACCATTGGAAATAAATATGATGAGTTGAAAGAACAGTGTGTAAGGTAAATTTCAACTACATATGGCCAGTGTAATTATAAATTTACAGGTACACATCTGAACTTGAATACTTCATTATATTTGGGAATGTGAATACGTGATTATTAATATTAAACTCTGGAGATGTCTAGCCGAACTAGAAGATCTGAAAGATTGGCTCATCTAGAATCTGAGGAAAGGGAAGAAACACCTGTTAATCCTCCAATTAGTATGTCTGGAAATAGAGGTCGAGGAAGACCAAGGGGACGAGGTAGAGGAAGAAGTTAGTCTCAAGGAAGAGGACGGACTAAAATCCAATCTGAACAAGAAGAATCTCACTCTGGAAATGTTCAGGAAAGGTCGGTGGCACACCCAGAATATATAATTAGAAATATTTTGGCAGAGGAAATGGGAAAATTGCAGGAAACTCTGACATCTATCATGGGAATACGGGCTAGGGTGGAAACAGAAAGAGTGGAAGTTCATCCATTTGTTCCAGTTACCCATAATAAAGAAGGGGATATAAAAATGTTCTTAGCATGTAAACCACCAACCTTCTCTGGGGAGAGAGATCCAGTGAAAGCAATGTGCTGGATCAAGGAGATGGAATCCGTGTTCAACACCATTCGGTGTCCAGAAACAGATAAAGTGCGATTTGCTATTTCGGTATTGAAGTCAAATGCTTTGTTTTGGTGGGAAGTTGAATCATCTAGCAGAACAAATGTTTTACAGACTTTGTCATGTGTAGAATTCGTGGATAGATTTAAAAATCAATTCTGTCCTAAAACGGTCGTGAGACAAATGGAGGAATATTTCCTGAAGTTAGAGCAAGGAAATGGAACAGTTCGGGAGTATACTGAAAGATTTATTGAGTACTCTCGTTTTGCCGAACACTATGTTTCGAATAAATCCAGGAAGATAGAAAGGTTTATTTGGGGTCTGAAACCCTCAATTAAGGAATTCGTTATTGCTATGAATCCCAATACCTTTCCATTAACAGTAGAGGCAGCTGAGGTGACTGAAAGAAATAAGAATAGACAATCAGAAGGAAAGGTTGTTGAGAAGAGAAAATGGGAAGGGTCTTCATCTTTTCGGGGG